TCCTCCTCCAGCCTCTGAAGAGTGCACTGATAAGCCTCAATCACTGAAGTAGCAGACTCCTCGCTATCATTTTTCACAGAAGTTGTACCAACACTTTCCCACTCTGAGCTGCAAAACTGAAAACACATAAAAATGAAACATTATTATGGATAGACTTGTCCGAGTCATGCAACATGAACTAATGCTATTTAACTGAGGGAAAATAGACAAACATCTTGAAAATAGAAAGGCAGCATTGGTTATGGTTTGTGCTATCATTGGATTTATAAATTATTTGGTGGTCAAAGAGAAAAACACCCAAATTAGCAAGTAGGGGGAGTTCACGCACATAATGAAAACCCAGGACATTTCTGCTTGCTGTTTACCTGTGAAGACCCAGAGCTTGATTGTATAGCAAAGAAGCACCTCTGGGGAGCAGGAATTCCAGTGAGTGTGCAAGCTGAAAAGGATGGAACAATGTATGACCTACTGTAGCATTCATTGAGCAAGAAAACAGGAAAAGATTAAACTTACATACTACATACTTCAAGACCTCACCACATCAGCAACAATAATCAAACCTGTTCTAAAAGCAAAAGGTAGTTAAATGATTCAGTTTTTGTTTGTTTTGTCTAACTCAAAAAAGCCAAATGACCCTAAATAGAAAGCCATTTTTCCTCTCCCCACTAAAACGTCGTCGACAGTCACATAACGCCGCCAATCTAAGTTTTGTACAATAGAAGAAACTAACCCCTTGTAATATACCTACTGTAGATAGTTCGTTTTGATAAACTATTACAGACACGTAGTAGTTACTAAAGTAAACTGAATGTAAGGGGAAAATCAAATGTGTAGAAAATGTCGCCTTATAAATGTATATTTATAATAACATGCTTAACAATGCAGGAAACGAGTGTTTTAATTCGAACTTACGTGGAAAAGGTGAGACCTTCCTTTTGGACGAGTTAATAGATATTTCTTTGAGGGATTCATAAACCTTGTTTGCAGCTGTCAGTCCTTTGAGAAAAGCGCAACACATAAACACGTGCATGGTATGCAAACAAACATAATTACATTTTTTAGAAATGTACAGTATGCGTTTATTATCATTCACTTAGTTAATATTCAATTTTTAACACAAAAAAAACAAAGAAATGTATCATGTAGTTAAGTTACTGTTTTAAGTTACAAACTTCCGAATGTAAAACTGCAATCATACCTGTAAAACAATTAATGTCTTCATCCTCCTGTTTATTAAAACTAACTACTAGAACATAACGATCCATCCTCTTCTCATACAAAAAAAATCTATTCTTTAAGAAATAGTTTAAAATGTGAAAAAACAAATTCCCCGCGCTCTACAAAGAGGAAGAGGTTTTGAACACCTTCAAAATACAGCCGATCGGCAACAACGTGACTGAATCTTAGTTCTTATATCTTACTTCCGCTCTTCTCCTTTCATTGTAAAAAAAATAAACTAAGTAAACTTATTAATTTGGAAACGCTGTGAAATATACATTTTATTTTTGCGTGTAAAGCATTAAATTAAAGTTTACTACTCTAATTTATAGATTGCAAATCTTAACACAGAATTACTAGGAACGAATATTGTCCATCATGATTTCTGTCGGTTACTTTGCTGTGTCGCATTTACTATCACGTTAAGGTTAAAGTAGTGATGTTCACAGCGTTTTTCTACCACCGTTGACTTAGTCATGTCAGGTTTCACAAAGTCTGCACAGGTAACATGTTGTATTTAGTTTGGTGTTCTTTCATTTCAGGATCAACGTTTACATGGTCCAGGTATAGAGTTTCTGAGACCGTGTTTATTTATATTAATGTATAAGTTAATCGTGATGTTCTCCCGATGAGCATACAGGAGTCAGAACACTAACACTGCATGTGTACTATACGATAACTATACTACACGTCACCTGACGTATTGCCTTATATTTATTATAATGAAATAATTGTATTATTTGGTTAAGGATCGGTTTGGTTATCAATAAGTAAAGTGATTTTTATTAATCGATTTAATATCGTTTTGTGTCCCTTAAATACCTTGTTGCTATTTGTTTCTTTATTTGCAGCAATGGGCTACTTTTGCCAGGTCCTGGTATTTAATTGATGCCAAGATGCAGCCTCCAGGAAAAATTGCAGCAATGTGTTCAGTACGTCTACAGGGAAAACATAAACCAATATACCATGCGTTGAGTAAGTATCCTACTTAGTTGTTGTTATCTAGTCACTATTGCTGTATTTTCCTGATGCATTTGGCACGGAAATATCATCCTGCGACTCTCAACTGGCAACCTACCGAAGCTCAGCAGGTGTGAGCCTGGTCAGTACCTGGATGGGAGACCTCCTGGGAAAAACTAAGGTTGCTGCTAGAAGTGGTGTTAGTGGGGCCAGCAGGGGGCGTTCGCCCTGCGGTCTGTGTGGGTCCTAATGCCCCAGTATAGTGAAGTGAAAAGAGTAGGGGTGCAACCCCAGCATCCTGCCCAAATAATGTCCTCCTAATAATCCCCATCTATGAATTGGCTTCATCACTCTGTTTTCCAGTAGCTGGTGTGTGTTGAGCATTCTGACACACAATGGCTGCCGCATCATCCAGGTGGATGCTGCACACTGGTGGTGGTGGAGGGGAGTCCCCATTACCTGTAAAGCACTTTGATTGGAGTGTCCAGAAAAGTATTAAATAAGTGTAAGGAATTATTATTATTAATTAAGACCTGAGTTCACTTTATTCAACTAATTACTCCCTTAATTGAACGATACCTTCTTTAAAAAAGTGAGTAGAGTGGTTTATAAGACTGTCTGAAGATCAGACCAGAGTTGGAGATTCCAGGGTTAGATTTATGAACACACGATTTCCCTCTTTTGATTTCAGCAAAGAAAAAATGTATTTTCTGTCACTCCTAGACTAATGATAGCTGCTTGATTATTACATGGTTTGTGAACATTTCAAGTAATTCTTGTTTTAATAACCTTTAAAAAAGACTTTCCTTATTTGATTTCTTCCTTATGGTGAGTAAGTGACACTGACTGTTGTTGCATTTTAAATACAGTGTTTCTCATTCCCTGGAATGAGCATTAATGGTTACCAGGTATTTAACACATCATTTGAGTGTTTCATGTTCTTAAGTAGTTCAGCTTTGTGGGTACAAACATGCACTATGTATGATGTAACATATATTTTCATACAGTGTTCTAAACTCAAAGATTGTTGCTGGACATTGTCTTTCATATTCTTTAAGTTCAGAGATAAAATGCTCATATGGTCTTATAATGCGTTGTAGCTAAGGGTGGTGAGGAATGTCATAAGCAGCTAAGTGTACAGATAGTCAGTGAGCTGCTGTTTCAGCCTGTGCAGTGTTTGTGATTGAAGTGATCTGTGTACTTCAGATGAAATAAACTAAAGTTTAATCAAGATCAGGTGAGGTCTTGATACTATATTGTACAATTTAAACATAATTTAAATCCTATACTTTCTAACTATGCAGTGCTATAAAAAGTTGTTTTTTTCTTTCCAGTATAACAGTGGTGTTTGTATTCATGGGATTCATATGGGATTCATGGGATTGTTTGTGCAATTTTATTTTTGACTAATCCCACATTTAATCATGTTGTAACAAAACATACTTTGTGTGCAAACCAGAGCCTTCAAGTAAGTATTGAGACACAATGACTTTAATCAAATGTAAACGACAGTATTTGGTTACATGTCAGGTTATGCCATAACTGTAATAATTCTGCAATCCGTTGAGCTCTCCACACTCCTTGTATAATCATTTAAGATTCTTTCTGTTCTTGCTTATTCTTCAGATGATTAAATTCAGCTTTTTCTTCAGCATATACAATACTTGCTCAATTAGATTTAAATCTGGAGATCAACTTGGTCGATCTGAGATTTCACATTTTTTTTTCCATTGGTCAAACAATTGTTTGCATTGGCATTGTGTTTTGGGTCAGGGTCTTGCTTCCTGTGAAGTACCACTCACTAAATATGTAAGTGCATTCTTCTATATAAACAAACACATTTTTTTGTAACCATTTTAGATTTATTCTTTAGCTGTCATCATTAGTTTTATCTGCTGTGGCTGCAAACAATCCCACCAATGGCTGCATTTCAGGAATGCTGGTTTAGAGGTACGTTCAACGGTAATCCCTACATAGTAAGGTATAGTAATTCCTACCTTTTTTTCATTTAACCAGCTGAATTGCACTCCTACAAGCCGGGCTTTCCTAAAGCATTGCTGAGATTCTTTTTTCCTAGCATCTTCTCAGATGAAGAATTTACTTTTTAAAAATATTTTAATTTAATAATAATTGCTTATGCTTTTGTAGCGATTTCCACTCAAGCACTTTACAGGTAATGGGGTCTCCCCTCCACCACCACCAGTGTGCAGCATCCACCTGGATGATGCGACAGCAGCCATAGTGCGCCAGAACGCTCACCACACATCAGAGTAATGAAGCCAGTTCATAGAGGGGGGTTATTAGGATTATCATTGATTGGCAAAGGTCAATGGGAAATTTGGCCTACTCTTTTTGAGAAACGCCCTGGGAGTTTTAATGACCACAAAGAGTCAGGACCTCAGTTTTACGTCTCATCCAAAGGACAGCACCTGTTTACAGTATAGTGTCCCCATCACTATACTGGGGCATTAGGACCCATGTGGACCACAGGGTGAGCCCCCCCTGCTGGCCTCACTAACACCTCTTCCAGCAGCAGCCTTAGTTTTTCCCAGGAGGTCCCCCCATCCAGGTACTGACCAGGCTCACACCTGCTTAGCTTCAGTGGGCTGCCAGTTGTGAGTTGCAGGGTGATATGGCTGCTGGCTATTACTTGTTTATAATAAGGGCCTGTGTGAGTTAAATGCATATAGTACACAATAGCACCTAATGTGTTTGGATTCACTGACAACTTTGTAACTACTGTTCTGTACCATAAATGAGCAGGAGTGTTATTGTTTACTACCTATTGTTTCTGCACTGTTATTTAATTTTGACTAAGAATGTATATTGTTTTCATACTTGGGTAACATTTTGTGATGTAACATCTGGGTATTTGAGAGAACATTTTTGAATTCTGGAACCAGTTGAAGGTTATAACACCTGAAGTTATGCGAGTTATTACTTTACGAGCAGTTTTCAATGAATGAATTAAGCTCCTGTAACCAGGGATTACTGTATTGACATTGGATCATTATACATTAAAATGTTATGACCACCAGATGGAGCAGTTACTCTTCTTACAGCTTTATGACCCTTGGAAATGACTAGTTCTTAAATTTACCTCCCGTGACAGTTGTCTGAAGTTTACCATATTTATTTCACCAGATAATTCAGACTTAAGTCCTCACACTATTAAAGAATGTTTCACCTCAAAGTGTCTCAGCATAAATAGGGAACTTTATCTGACTCTAAAGAGTAGCAAATGGATGAAGAATGTGTGGCAGCCATTCTGCACCAGTAGCTGAACAGATCAGGCAGAGAAGTTGCTTAATGGCAATCCTTAGGAACATTGTACAAGGCCAGAGAAGGCTTTAGCCAACATGCTGGTTTAATATCCTTACTCTTTTGTTTGCTTAGTGGTTTCCCTTCCAGTAATGACCAGGCCCAGTCTTCCTTAGACGCAGTGCTAACATTGCTACTCATCTTTCCATATGAGATCTGTATGACTGAGACGGAGAAAGTTATCATGCAGTAAAGTTCTGTTAGATGTGGTTGGAGTTGCAGTTGTTTTAGTAATGAATAAATCATTGGCATGCAGCAGAGTAATTGTTTGGGTACGTACAGCAGAAAATGCAGACTTGGGAAATTCACAGGACAGCAGGCAGTTGCCTGTTTATGCAGTTTCCAAACAAGTAATTAGGCGTAGTAGCACCACTGCTAACTAAATGTATCACTAATGAACTATAATTTTTAAATGCCCAAAAAAGCAATAACTCTGCAAGTTATACAAGCAATTTGAATATCTGTGTAATATATAAGCCTGCATATGTAATGCATATTCGAGTTCTGTGTGGGTATTTCTTGACCATTACTGTTTTTCCTATATATTTTGCACTGCAGTTTCCCTCACAGGATCAATAAAGTATCTATCTATATTTTACAGCAGGACTATAATACATATAGGGTCTATTTCTTAATCACTACAGACATCATGTTCGTAATAAAGGCCATGTTAAGGTTATGTGCTGAACTATATCTTCCAGGAAAAAGTGAAACCAAGCAAGTCTATGAAATATTCCATGTCTGAGGAACCAATACATTACTTAGAACTGTCAACCCAAATCATGTACTTATCGTATATAGTAAGTAAACCTGGAAGGCTTAAAACATCAGCATTTTTTGTCTTTTATCTTTTATTTCAGTCAAAGTGTTATGTATTGCACAGCAAATCTGAGACAGGCAAGATAGCTGAAACTATTGTGTTGTCCCTCAGGCTGGCAATGTGTTATGTAAAGAATTCTGTTCTTTGAGAATTAGCTAAAGAATTAGCTAAAGGCTGCAGATGATTTTCTCCACCTTAAGTGTCACCATTTAAGAAAATGACTGAAATAATTAACTTCAGCAGCAGCAATGTTGATGAGGAGAACCGGTGCAACTCAGCAGACATACAATATTAAAAACATGTTAAAGATGACATGTCTGTTGCAGCAAACCAGTTTCCCTAATGTTTTGCTGTATTTTCAAAGCTAATTTTTGATCTTTTGTGTTGGGAGTCACACTGTAGAGGATCACTGCCACTGTCAGACACAGATGATTGCTCACTTGAAACAAAAGGTGTTTTTACAGGAAATGTGGTTTTTATGTGGTTAGTCAGTGAATTATATGCCTAATCATGTAACAAAATCAATCCAAGGAATTTTTATAAAATATCAGTAAAGCCTGTATTTTAGGAGTTATCACATTACAGTACATTATTACCAGAACATTTTGACCTTTTTGGAACAATTCAATGGGGAATTCCCTTAACAAAGACCATGCTGGCAGGTAAAACCCAATGTGAACCAAAGAAATAGAGCAACACAGGTAGGATGATGGCTTTGCTTGTCCAGTTTGTCTCCTTTCTAATTATTCAAGTGCTAAATGTAAAAATAATTACCATGTTGGATGTTCAGTGTAACACACAAGGGACATATCTTTGCTTAAAGTTCTTGTTTAAATTCGTTTTTGTTTTTGAAGGCAAAATGTTGAGCATTTTGTCCAGACAATTGGCCTGTTAAATAACGCTAAACATAACACAAAAAGACCCGTGATGGCTGACACATGAGCATGTCGTGTCTGTGTGCTCTGTTGGGGTTTTGTTTGTTTTTAGACTGTAACTATCCATTTGCAACATCACATACTGTGCAGTATATGGGATGGGGGGAAAACTTTGGGCTGCAGATAAAGAGGATGCATGTTGGGTAAACGTCAGTGGACTCTTCTGAAAATGTCAAACTCCTTATGGACTCTAGAACATTACCTACATACTCCAGCAGTCAGTTCTAAGTTCTTGGCCAAAACGCTGCTTCCAATAAGCAATCCAAAAAATCGAAGCATGTGCAACACACAGATGCACAGATCACACAAATCAGGATGTTCCAGAACTATGATCCAAAGAGCCCCATCGGCCTGAATGGAGATAGTGATCAAGATTGTGCCCTCTCAGTATAACACTGCAGATACTTGCCTCAGGGTGTGAAGGAACCTGCTAACATATGGTAATTCACACTTTCAGCCAAAAGTGATTTCTCATCTGTAAATCATAAATAACCTTGTATTGGATAGGAAATTACCTGCAGTAGAACTGTGAGTGGATTTATTGTATTTTCTGTGACCTGTTGCACTGCTGTGGGGAAATTTAATTAAATCTGATGTGGATAGATGAATCTCTACTAGTCGGAAAGGTATAAATTCCTTTTATTGTGTATCAGTCACACAAATGAATAATTGGGAAAAGTAGGCATCTATACACCTGTTTTCCTTCATTCTTAATGCCTAAAGGGCTCACAGTGTCACAGATCAAATTAATTATTAGATCATTTCTAACTGTAGCTGTGTTTTGCATATTGTTGTATGTACAGTATCTATCAAATAGAGTAAAAAAATCAAGAATGGATGAGAAAGGACATTGAAAGGAAAACTTTAGGCTTAATCTTCACCTTCATTGTTCTTCATTGTCATTTCCATTTTGTGTATTTGTCACAGGTGACATTGGGGATCATGTGGTGGTGATAAACACGAGGCACGTTGCGTTTTCAGGGAACAAATGGGAACAAAAAGTTTATTCCTCTCATACTGGGTGAGTGTCACAATGGGTTTTATTAGAGCTTTTTGACATGACATTTTATTGTTTTTCATCTTTGTTACATTAAGTACTTTTCCACTGGAATAAAACCTTCATGCATAATGTATTTAATGTATGATCTTTCTGTTTTAATTAAAGGTATCCAGGTGGCTTTAAACAGGTCACAGCAGCTCAGCTTCACCAGAAGGATCCCAAAGCAGTAAGTAGAGATGCTGGGGACCACCATATGTAATTTGATTTAGCAAAGATGTGATATTTACACTGTACCTCTAAATCTGAAGGCATTGCTAAAATATTCACACTGTATGCACAGCTTGGTTTTGCTAATGTACTTCCTTATAAATGGAAGTGTGCCATTGGTCTGCTTTCTGTACAGACCAATGTATTGTATTAGTTTGTTTCTAATGTAGGCTGTATTGCTTAAATAAATACAGATAATACACAAATTCTTGGGCAACTTGTGAGGCCATGTTATATTAATTAAAAATGCACTCCAGTTTTCTACTCTCTGAGCCCAGTTTGTGCTCCACTGTTTTGACATTTTAGAACAACACTAGCAACTGTGAAAAACTAATTAATGAAGAGCCAGGAGACATCAAAATAAATGCAGAAGAACAGTGTCAAGTGTTAAATTGTGTGATTTCTTTCAGGATTTTACAGGCACATGAAAGAGTATCATGTTAAATAGTATGTTTTCTATCAAGATTTTTCTTCATTTGTTTTCCAACACAACATTTCTTAATTTATTAAACCACCATATCAGCTTTTATTGTTATTCATTATTGCTAAAATATTGGATTCATATGTGAATATACATTTATTCTGTTTGGTTTTTAAGTGATTAGGACTGGCTTTTAAACGATACCACAGTCTGGTAGAATTTGAGTCCATGTATGATTTTATAAAGACGTTGAAGCCTGTGAAGTTTAAATGTATATAAGTTTATAAGTATAAACTAGCTATAGTGTTTCAAAATATCCTCAGGGGGTACTGCTTCATAACAGTTAAAAAATCCTAGCTAACCATTCACATTTTATATTTCTGTACTTATGGAATTTTCCATCAGGAAATTAAAGTCAATTAAAAGTAATCCAGTCACATGAAAAAAGCAGTACTATTTGTTTGCTTTGATCATTCAAGTGATCTGGAATTTGAAATAAAAAACATGTTTTGTATTTGTAAAAATATATTTAAAAAAATTAAAGACACAAACAGCGAACATGGCTTCTGTACCGTCCAGCATTAGCTTGTTTGTGAGCTCTTGATTTACAGGTATGTTTTCCTATCAATTAAGAGTTATGAGGTATAAACTGAACAAACATGTATGTCAATAATTGTCAGAAGTAAAGAGTTTGTATTCTTATCATTATTAGTTTAGTGAAGTACATTTTATATTTTTTATTGTGAGTTGAAGACATCTCTAAACATTATCATACGTCATATTAATCGAACAAAGTTAAATTTTATGATAAGAATATATTAATATTGCCCAATCAGTGAGAGTGACCGACATTAAAATATTAGATATGTTCACACACCAGTTATCACAAGTGTTTAATGCTCATGTCTGTGTTTTCATTGAATGTGGCACTAAATAGATAGTGTTGTGCACTTGCATTTACACACAATGATTCTTCAAGAGATTTTGTATTATGTCCTGACTCTTCCTGTGTTCGCTCGAAATCTGGGAGAAGGCTTTGTTGGTGAATTCACTAACCTTAGACTTAATCATCATCCTGGCTTCCCACCTAAGAAAACCTTATTTACGAGGAAAGTAAACCTAAAAATATTTTTCTCTAAAAAACAAAAAAGGATATTTTGTATAAATACGGCTATCTCTCTACTAATGTTTAAGGAATTGCAATGTAAGCAAATTACCCTGGTTTGGGTTTAATCCTCTTTAGGCAGCCTGGTTTATGTTCAGGATCGACACTGACAGAACTACAGTGTTTATATTAATCATTTAATACAGTTTCCCATTCTGCAGTTAGTAGGTCAGGGTGCAGATTTCTTCTTTTCTCACGGCATAAACACACACAAAAAAAAATCATCTTCTCCTGGTTTTGCTGTAGACTGTTCTTTCCTTCAGCTATTTCCCAGAGCATTCCAGTAGAAAGTTTTCCAGCTGGGTAAACAATACGATTTCCATTTTAATGAAATTCAATGGGACATAGCTTTAAAAAAGCCACCCGTTCCACCAAACAATTGGAAGCAAAAGTTGTATTTGTGTATTGTGTCACAGATTCAGCTCTGCAACAGTACTGTTAACATCTTCATCGTCTTGATGGTATAAAAAAGCAGGCCATCTCAAAAGGTTGGAAAACAACCTTTTGTTTCTCAACCTTCTGTATGAGAGCAAACGTCTTGGTCTTAGATGTGGTAGATGTAATTGGGGCACTTTCAAGACAAGCTCAATTTTCTATTCTAGTTTCAGTCTTTGTGCGCTAAATAAAGGCTGAGAAAAGCTTGCAAATCTTTCATGTATCAAAAAAAATATTTAAAATATTTTAGGGAGGTACTTATACCACCACCAAGTAAAGTTTATAGGAAATCACTTAAAATAATCTTGCTTCTGAGTTAAAGATGAAATTCCATGTCCTTAAACCAGATTTCTTCAAACAGACGAGACACTATAATCTGAAGAAACTTCCAGAAAGAAGAAGAAGAAATGACCCTGCTGTTATTAGTCAGTACTGTCAGAACTAGAGGAATGTGTTGGCTTGTACAGCTTTTTGTCTATGAAGACTGATGGGACATGGGTTTAAGGTTGGCCCTTGTATTTAAAACATGTCTCCCATCTTTGCAGATGCAGGCCCAGAAAAAAAAAAGTTCAAAATAAAATACAGAACAGAAAGTAGAATTTCCATCTTTCTTTCATGTGTTTTCTAAGCTTATCCTAAAATATTTTTAAAATATCTTCTCAACAAGGCTGCGGAGTGCAGACTTTGAACATGCCATCACTCTCAGATTCTTCAAAACCTTTGCTGTTTTCAGTTGTGGAAAATTTATGTGAAGCCTTTAACTTTCTGTAAAGGTGAAAAATGTAGGGAGCTTTGTCTAAGGTGTCATTGCGTAATAGTGCACTTAACATTTGATGCTGGAATGTACTCTCAAATTGCAAAGTTATTAAGTTAGACAGATCTTGAAGGGAAAAATAACATCTGCCACACTGTATCAATCTGAAGATGAGATAACTTTTTTCATCTGACCTAAATTCTTTATACCTCACTGTTGGTCATGATAGAACTTGTTTCTGAAAAGATTTTTAAAAATTCAGTGTATGGTAAAGAAAATAAAAAAAGGACCCTTAGCATGGTTTTTGCTTTCCACTATTGTAAAATGCATTTCATGTTCCAATTTTTCTGAGATAATTTCTCTGAGAGAGAATTTACATACAATTTGTAAGATGAATCAAGATGCAGTGTTTTTGTTATTACTACTCAATACCTTTCATAGGTGTGACAAACAGACACATCTGAATTGATGTTACACCTCCTTAACTATTGTACAAAAAGCTGTATATTTTGGTTTTTCATTTGGAATTCAAGAACAGAGCGATCGTGACAGAACTGCAGTGGTTATGTAAATTATTTAATATTGTTTCACGTTCCTCATTTCTAAGTTATTGTTTTACATTGTCGTCTTTTGTCACCTTTGTGAGTTTCACCTGCATGTCTTACTTGCTTACTGAAAGTGAATATGAAGGAGCTCCCTCAGAACACAGGTTGAGTTCTTTTGCCCCACTTTCTCCCTGTCACTGGATGACAGTGACTGATTCTCCCAAAGTGGCAGCTGACAACTGGCAGAGGATAGGGGGTGGGCATTCATGATCATGGGACTTCTCTGAAAGAGTGACACTCTTGTTTCTTGCCAAGTGCTGGCAAGCATGTGAGACATTAGTGATAGATGTGTTGATCCTCCGATCAGCACTAACTCTCTCTAGTAAGACACTTTGCAGTGTGGGCTTAACTATAAGATACATCCAAAATCAAATGAATATTGTAGATTAGATAGGAGCATGATAAAATAAGAATCCATATTTAAAACAAAAATGTGTTCCTGTGTTTTAAATGAAAAGTGGAAGTAAAAGCTAAATGCTTATTCCGGGAAAATTAGAAAGCGTTCAGTAATTTGTTGCCAGCATGTGTCTAGATGTTTTATCTTCAAAGTTCCTTAACTGCAAGACACAAGGCATAAATAGGAAATATGCCATCTAGGATATTGTGGCTTTGGCTATTTAGCTATTTGACTTTAATCAACACAGTGTACCTGTAGTGTCAGTGGTTGCTGGTGCATTTTATGTTATACATTACATTTTCTGTAGCAGAATTTCATTCAGAACACTCTGCAAAGTGCTGGTACAGGAGTTTATGTAAAAAACAGTTCCATATAATGACCTTAGTTTAAAACTTGCGATTCACCTGCTTTGCATCTCTTGTCATAATCCAGTGAGCAGTCATAAAAGTTAATGCTTAATGCTCTGGTGCTTTTAAAAATGTCTTGTCACAGTGTTTCTGGGATGAGTTGGATGAGTTGCTTAATTCCTTCTACATTTACATAGCTTTAACTCTACACTTCACGTAGCTGTGTAGAGTTTGCATGCACTTAATTTCAAGTTTTAGAGGGCTGGAGAAGTCCTGGTGTTTACCTGAGTCCTGCGTCTATTCTTGCCCTGTAGATTATGAAGCTGGCTGTCTATGGGATGCTGCCGCGCAATCTCAGTAGGAGAACCATGATGCAAAGGCTGCATCTCTTCCCAGATGACGTAAGTGATCGTATTTCCTCAGGGCAAGCGTTTTATCCTTTTCTTTTTTTTTATCTTTTCAGAACTTTTCATTGGATGGCTTCTCCATTATTGGTTTGTAGAGATAGAATAGCAACGAGCAGAGATGAATGTAATGAGCTTTCACAGTGTGGTTGGAAGCACATTTTTGTTTTTTTGAGAGACATTCTATGCACGTCTGTCCCTCTTCGTGAGATATGCAGTATCTGCGGTCCTCACTGGCAAGGGACAGCATTAACTGCAATTAGCATGGTTCAGCTTAGATGGAAGCTGGCATAAAATGATGTTTTGGTTGATACAGCAAAGTCACAGTCTGTTTCTCATTTTAGGTAATTCCAGAAGACATACTTCGGAACATAACAGAAGAGCTTCCACAGCCTAGGACGGTGCCCAAAAAGCTGAGCGAGTACACCCAGGAGGAAAGGGAAGCTTTCCCCAGACTATGGACTCCGTGAGTGTCAAGATATTTTTGTAGCCTACTCTGGAGAATGATTTATTACCACGTAAAGCAATACTGCAGAGTTCTTTCTCGCTATGATAGTCCCCCTGTTGCACTGGATTAGTTTCAGGGTAGTAAAACTTCAGGCTGACTAATCATCTTTAAGGCTTTTTGTTCATTGGGTGCACTGTTTATTCTCCTGCGCCATTGGCTTGTACTGATTTACTGCTGTAACATCACGCACCTCAGTTTGTTACAACTTGCCATGCGGTTCAAGGCAGAGTTCTGCTCAGGGTTTTGAATGCCTTGTCTGAGCTGTTTGAAGGCTGGCTGAAGTGTGCCGAGGTGAAAGGTCAGGCTGGCCCGTGTCCATGTACAAATTCAAACCTGGGAGGCTTTCAGAATGCCTAACATCTAAATCAACTTTAATTATATTTATATGAAAATGTGGTGCTACTGTATTAGCTGCGTGAGACTGTACAATAGTGGTTTTGAATTAGAAAGTATCATATTTTTTCACTTTTGCATAAATATTTTGCTTCTTATTGTTATATGTGCGTTATACTGGTGGGTGAAGTTTCCTAAATTAGGGAAACGAGAAAATATGACCTTATAAATCAGCTTGAATTAAACAGTTTTGAAATGTAGAATATCAAATTACATTTCAGCGAATACTTTAGTTTTTGACATAATACTTTTTCATTCTTTGATATAATCATCAACATCTGATTTTGTTTTTCTTTCTTATTTGGTTTCTTATTTCTTATTTCAGGGATATTGAGAATGTATCTTTATTTTTTGTTTAAACAATAAATAGGAACGTCATAGTTAAAATATCCCATAATATCTACATACTGCACATTTCTTGTATCCCTATATTTTACTGCACTGACACCATTAGAGATATGTTAGCATTAGTTTTTACTTGTCGTGTTCAGCTTGTAGCCTGAAATCCCCTCTGGGAGTTTTATAATTAAAATGTTTTTCAAAATAGTCTTAACTCTATTTAGAGTACACTATATCAAATTAAGTCTTCTATAAGTCTCAGAAAAGTCTTAACTTATTATACTTAGCCATTTGTCTATATTTTTGTTTTTTTCCGTGCTGTATTAGCTACTATATCTCATTACCAAAGAGCAAAATTATTTTTCAAAGCTGTACGGTAGATGTTTCGTAACATCAAAACAAAGTTAAAATCAGTTTTTTAAGGAATTTATACTACCTCATAAACTATTATTTCTTCAACATTTTTTATATGTTTAAAAAACACATTTAAAAGCAAAACATGATCACTGTGATCACTGGCAGTAATTTTACAGTGTATCTGAATATAGTGCAATGAACGCAGGAGACAGTTCTTCCAAAGGAAGTTTGGAGGCAGTTCCCAACAAGCTACAAAGCAGTGTTGCTGAAACCGATACCCTGGCTTCTTTCAAGAAATGGATAGATTAGAATCTCAGATAATTTAGGAACTAGCTACCAGACAAGCTGGGCTGACTGCCTTCCTCTTCTTTACAACAATTCTTATGTTCTTATGGTCCTGGAAGGTCATTAACAGTTCGGTTAAACTGTAGAATTACACCATAAGCAGTGATGTTATATCTAGGAAACCTGACCGGAGCATCTACTGCCCTATTAGAAACATATTTCTTGATAAAAAACATTAGGAACATCACCTTGTTCCTAGCTACCTAAAATGATATTTTCTTAAGATTTAGTAAGATTAAAAATAATTTAAAACACCAGGCAAGGATTTTTCAAAATTGTAATTAAACATTAACTCTTGTGGATAATAAAGTGAAAGTCATGACAATCTTACAATTTCCTAAAAAGCTGTCTCAAATAACTTTTTATAAAAATGGGTATTAAAAAAGCTTTTCTTCCTCTAAGCACATGTAGAGTTCATGTCCTTTCAGCAGCAGTTCTGTACTTTGCTCTACCTTTATATGACCAAACCCTTTTTTAAGGATAAATAATTGGGGGATGGGTGTCTACATGTTTTCTGAGTCTGTACCTTGTACATTTTGTTTAGCAAAAACCCCCTGTGATTTGTGCTTTTTCCAACATCCTTATGATATTCATTTTGCAGTATGTTGTAGTCTAAAACAGCCCTCATAGCGTTACAAAGGGTGCACAATTGCTCTGATCAGAAGAGCTTTTTTTTCATAGTTGGGTGATTTTCTTTTTGACTTCCTGCATGGCTTCACTCAGCTTCTTGTGTTTGCTTTGCCACCAGGCAGAACATGCATCTAAAAGCATGTTCAAGCTGGTCACCACATCACCCTGCAACTCACTTCACTGGCAGCCCACTGAAGCTCAGCAGGTGTGAGTCTGGTCAGTACCTGAATGGGAGACCCCCTGTGAAAAACTAATGTTGCTGCTGTGCTGGTAGAGGTATTAGTGGGACCAACAGGGGGCGCTCACCCTGCAGTCATTGTAGGTCCTAATGTCTCTGTATAATGATAATGATTCTTTATTAGCTATACAATTTACTTGCATTAGGAATTCGTCTTTTCGCATACCCCAGCTTTTTTCTCCATGAGACACAGATACACAGACAGGGAGAGAAGCCTGGGGTCAGAGCGCAGGGTCAGCCATTATACGGTGCCCCTGGAGCAGCTGGGGTTAAGGGCCTTGCACAGGGGCCCAATGGAGTAGGATTCCTCTGCCGGCAGCGGGATTTGAACCGGCAACCTTCCAGTCACAGGCGCAGATCCTTAGCCACAGAGCTACCGCTCCGCCCTGTATAGTGACCACTATACTGTAAAAAAAAGACCCCATCCTTCAGATGAGATGTAAATCCGAGGTCCTGACTCTCTGTGGTCATTAAAAATCCCAGAGTGTTTCTCGAAAAGTATAGGGGTGCAACCCCGGTGTCCTGGCCAAATTTCACATTGGCCTTTTATAATCCCCATCTTCTTCACTCTGTTCTCCTCCCCACTGATAGCTGATGTGTGGTGAGTGTACTGGTGCACTATAGCTGCCATCACATCATCCAGGTGGGGCTGCACACTGGTGGTGGTGGAGGGGAGTCCCCATTACCTGTAAAGCGCTTTGAGTGGAGTGTCCAGAAAAGTGCTATATAAGTATAAGGAATTATTATTTAAAAAATACATTAAAACCTTTTATGGACAGCTTTTGGGAAGGATGCTTCATTCCAGAATTAGCTTCCTCCACTCCTCTCTCAGTTCAACTCTGCTAATTTTCCCTTCGCCATTCATTCTTATTTTATTCCTTACCGGATTAATTTCCAAATTGTCTCTTCCATTGCTCCAATATCTTTATTACTTTTGTCTCCCAGTGGGTGTTACCTTGTTGTAAAGCTGTCTTCCTAAAACACAAAAAGGCCCTTAAATCTTTCTTCTTCCGGATAGACAACTGCCTGCTTGCCCGTTGTTCCACAGCGATCTGTCATCGGTCTCGACTCTGGCATTTTCGTTTTGCTGGCGTCTTCCACAGCTGCCTCCCACAGCATGAGGAGTCCTTAGGTGTTCACTGTTTTCCACTACTTGGATCATAAAACTGTCATTTCTTCACTCAACAAGGATAACTGTTACCTCCTGTCGTTTCCCAGTCTCGGTCTGCTTGTGCAGTATATGGCCTTATTTTCTTCTCTTTCTTCACCTCGGCCAGGGAACATGGCCAGCAATGGTGTCCTTGGCTGTGGGGCTTTTTGCATTTGACCAGCATGAAGCGTAAATTTGCTCCCGGTACCTCACAGGATTTTGCTGATTTATACTTATCCATTAGCCTGCTGTGGCACACTGGAGACAGTATGTGGCAGATCTTCCTTACCTGGCGACTGCGCCGGAGGATGTGCTGAAATTAACGCCTTGAAATACGGTGTAATAAAATAACCGTCCCTCTCTATTACATTCTGTAACCTACTGGTCTCGCCAGTTTTCCCTTTTGTCTGAATCCAGACTCCCTACCCCTCTGGACCCCCTTCAGTTTTCATACCACCCTTACCGGTCTACTGATTATGCTGTATCTCTTCCCTTTCAAGAGAAAGACCCTTATGTAAGAATGCTTTTCATTGACTTCAGTTCAGCATTTAATACAGTCGTCCCCCAGAAGCTGACAGAAAAATGTAAATTTAAACACCTCCCTCTGTAACTGGATTCTGGACTTTCTGACCAAGAGACCTCAGACGATGCGGATCGGTAATAACATCTCCAGCACCATCACAATGAGCACCGGAACCCTCCAGGGCTCTGTGCTCAGCCCACTGCTGTTCACATCGATGAATCATGACTGTTCTGACAAGCACAGTTCAAACTGCATCATCAAGTTTGCCGATGATGTGACAGTGGTGGGCCTCATTAGCAACAGCGATGAATCACCGTAGAGAGAGGAGGTGGAGCAACTACTGGACTGGTGCACAAACAACAACCTCTCTCCTAATGTAAACAAAACAATATAGATAATCATTGACTTCAGGAGGATCCAAGCTGATCACTCCCCACTGTACATCAACGGTTCCCCTGTGGAGGCAGTTAGAAGCACCAAGTTTCTTGGTGTACACATTACAGATGACTTGGTCACTTGGTCCCTCAATACCACCTCCCTAGCCAAGAAAGCACAGTAGCGTTTCTTTTTACTGCGGTGACTGAGGAGGGCAAACCTACCCCTGCCCATTCTTACCACTTTCTACAGAAACACCATTGAGAGCACCTTGTCCAGCTGTGTCACTGCTTGGTTTGGGAATTGCAACGCTTCAGACTGCAAGACCCTGCAACGAATTGTGGAAACAGCTGAAAAGATTGGAGCCTCCCTCCCTTCCATTTCTGTCACCTATCACAAACGCTGCTTACACAGGGTCCCCAGTATAGTAGATGACCCCTCCCATAAACTCTAGGCCCTCCTACCATCAGGAGAAAGATATCCCAGTGTATGGGCTAGCTCCACCAGACTCTGTAACAGCTTCTTCCTGCAGGCTGTCAGGCTCCTCAACACCCTGGAATCTACTTGCACCTACCCCAATTCCAGAAACAGGGTTTGAATCCTCCCAG